TGTAATATATGGAATTGTTTGAATGACTTTCTTAATGGGAGTCTTGGATAAGATGTGGTGAAATCACGAGTGTCGTTGAAGAATGCCAGGACCAAATATTTTTGTGGGATTATTGGTAAGACTTTTGGTCTTTTATCTTTTTAGCTTGATAGGTTTTTTGAATTTAAGGGGGTGTAGACTTTTTAAAACTTTAATTTAATGTATTTAATTTAGATTTTTTTAAAATTTCGAGTTGTTCATTTGTAATTTAAAAAAGTCTTATAAAATTATGAGTAATTAACTTATTTGAGACTTGAATTTTGTTAAGGGGGTGTATTTAATTGAGATATTATGTGATATTTTGAGAGTTTTTTTAAGACTTTTTAAGTACTTTAGAAAACCTGTTGTATTCAATTGAGATTTTAAAAGTCTTGAGGTATTCAATTGCGATTTTAAAAAGTCTTACAAGATCATGAGATATTCAATTTACTTGACACTAGAATTTGTTAAGACTTTTTAAAATTTGGTCAAATTTCTAAAGAAAAAACTTTATACGAAATCTCAGTTCAAATCCTACCTACAGACTTAAGATTTCACAGAATTCCTTCAAAATCTGAAAAATCATACAAGTCTAAAAACCTATAAACTCTATTCAAAATCATACAAGTCTAAAAACCTATAGACTCAATTCGTTACAGCCCTAGTTTCCCTAGTTTGATCCAAAAGTGAAAATCATAGCTTAATAACAAGTCCTTACCCAAAAACGCGTTAGCAAGTCCTTATTAACAACACCAAGTCTTAAAGGTATATGCATACCTTGACTAAATTCATAAAGGAAATGAATTTATTACAATGAATTTATTACAAAGAGTAATTATTTTGAGAACATTTTGGAAGACCCAAATATACGCATAATCGATATATTGGCATATTAAAAAATCCACTCATATGGCAATGAGCGACTACGATTCAGCTGGATAGCAATTTGGCTTATTCTAGTTATTGTCTAATTGTAATTATGTATTTTTAGTCTATAAAATCTATCGTTTCGAAAAAAAAAAAATCGAGCAATGAGCGACTATAATTTACGGGGGGAAATTCAACCAAATGCTCACAAAATTGAAATTAACAAAAATTACAATTGTGCATGAGCAAACATCAAGATATACAAAACAATAGGGAAAAGGAAAAAGACACCAAACCTTATAACTTCAAAGTGGAACAAAGCATAAAGTGAAAGTTTTTGTTAGGGAATATATGCATAGCATATGGAGATTTATTAACAATTGGATATGTTAAAAAAAGAAATAAACCGATGTACTCTAATGTATCTTCATCTTCATCAGTGACAACGGTTACAATTTAAAAAAAAAAAAAAAAAAAGTGTTTAGGAAAGACTATCGTGTGATTTATTGTTGGTGAATTTCGTGCAGTCAAATGGCCCCATCTGATTGTTTTTCCTTTTGACCTGAAAATCACAGCAAAATGTGTTCACCAAATCTGAAAAATGATGGATTAGGTAATAAGGTAAATGGTTTAGTAAAACCGACGGAACCGGCCGGTTCAACCGAGAACCGGTCAATTGACCGATCCCAATTCGTGAAATGAACTGGTTGCCAACGAACTAGTCAAAAAACCGGTCAACTACCGATTTGAACCGGTCAAAACCGGTCGGTCGGACCCCTTTGAACCGGTTCAGCTTTTTAGTTTTAGAGATAAATTTTATTACAGTTAATATATTTAAAAATATTTTCAATATAAATAAAAACACTTATTTAAATTAATGGATATATACAAGTTATTTTTAGTTAGGGTAAGCATTTGAATGTTTTAAATTGGCTAAATATTAAATCAACAAAGTTTTTATGTATAATTTTTATTATGTAAAATATTATATATGCTTAAAAATATTAATAAATTAAATAACGGTTCAATGACTGATCGGACCAGTGACACATTGAATCAGTAGGTTGGTCAGTTTAATTACCGAATGCGCTGAGCCTAAGTGGTGTGTACTTCGTAAGCTTATTTGTCATAAATTTGTGCTTCATATTGACAAATATACAGATTTGGTTTTGACTATTAAACTTGGGAATTACCATAAATTATTTTTTTTCTTTTTTCTTAAGTTACCATATATCATTCTTACGTTTTTTTTATTTAATTCGTACACTATTGCTATGGAGCAATCGGATGGCTCGGCTTATGGAGTCATCCACAGTTATTCACAAGTAGTGTATTGACACGTGCTCTACAATAAATGCACTTTGGACAAGTGTCAATACACTAAGTGATGGATGGCTCCATAAGAAACCCATCCGATGGCTCCATAAAATTTTTGTTAATTCGTATATCAATTATCATGTATTAGTATATTTTGTATTTAAAAATTTATAAGTTTTTATTTGTATTTATATTTTATTTATGATATATCAAAGTAATTACATTTTAATGATTTTCGATTTGACATCCATATTGCATATATAAAATTAAAACCATTTCATTTGTATTTATGAAAAACAAATATTTTTATTATCAAATAAATTTATAATAATCAAATAACAATATAAAAATAATAAAAATAATAAAAATTTAATTCATCAATACACCATAAAATAATGAATTTAATATGTTTCTTCCATAGTTTTTAGATAAAATGTAGAAATTAAGTATTATTTCTCAATTTAAATATATTATAAGGAACTAAATGATAATATGTTGCTAGAAATAATAAATATAAAGGGATATCATAATTAAATATAATAAAATAGTTTTATGTTTTATCAATTTATAAATAATACATTTATGCATAAATTAAATATTTGAAATTATTAAGTTATATATAGTTAAAAAAACTTGAAAAATTAAAAAACGATACGCATAAAATATAATCACAATACAACAAAACTTGTTTTGTTTTAAAAATATTAAATCAAACATATGGGATTGTAACTAATATCTGTTTCAGACATATATAATTTTATAAAGATAATTAAAAAAATATTATTTTTGACAAATTTAGTATAAAATGTGGGCGCCATATTAATTAATTATCACTTTGTTAGTTATTTATTATTGTTGTATATTCATTATACATAATTTTACAATAAAAATATAAATAATTTTAATTTTTGATTGTACAAATATTAATATATTTAAGTACCTGTGTAGTACACGGGTATCATACTAGTATATAAATGTATTAGTATAGAATAGAAGGGGAGTGATTTGCTGAAAATAAAAGTTAAACAATTTTCCCACAAATTCGTAGAAAAGTATAATTTATTAGTTAGTAAATTTTTTTTGTATATTTGATTTGTTATTGATAAATAAGTTTGTTTCCATTTACCTGATGCTCCTAACTATGTAATTGATTGACCAAATATTTGTCAAGATATAATAGGGACAATTTGTTTTGCTATATTATGTATCATACTAAATAAAGTAACACACGTTAGAAAACTTACAATACCTTTATCATTTTTCCAAAATAATTTATACTTATAATGTTCATCTTTTAAAATTTAAAAATACTATTTATCTATTTTTGGAGATTTCTTACTTATTTTTTTTTTATTTTATTTCTGTATTTATATTTTAAATATAACTACAAATATAATAAAGTATCTATTTTTCTATTTAACCAACAAACTCATGCATCACAATTCACAAGAGCACATTACTAAGTGGACCATTACATAAAACGTTTATAAGATGAATAATTTTTTTTCCTTCCTTTATAAATAGCACCTGAAAAGCTCTAAATCTAAGGCCTTTTCCTTTATATTAAGGAAGGCTGATAGCTCCTTTTCCTAAGGTCTCCAACATGCATCTAACTAAAGTTTGTAGAGTGTGTCAAGGGAAGTTATGGAAAGAGATGAAAGTGATTGAAGGAGATGAAAATGTAAAGGGATAATAAGCTAATGGATGAATAGTCAAAAAATGCTTAAAAAGGAACCAGACTGTTAATAGAACATAGTATTAAAACAATCATAACAAAAGTAAAAACTAGAAGGTGTATGTACCGGGGACCATGGGCTTGGCTCGGGTAGAGATTTGTCGGGAGGTGAATTTTGCACCGCGCCACTTTTCTTAGAGAGGATATCCTGACAGTAAATTCATATTTAATATATTAGAAACATGATATATAAGACTGATGGAATTAAACAGAAATGGAAAGCACAAAAACCAACATTCATGAACACTTCAAGTAAGAGTGAATAGAAGAATAATGATTGAAGGGGTTCAAAATGATATATCTTCCCTAGTGACTAATCATATAAATGAAGCCATAGTATAATCATTGACCTCTAATGACAGAAAGTAAATAAAACCAAGTGTTAGCCAGATTTTCTAGTTTCATCCCAGTACACCTGTTACTCGTTTCTTGGTTATACAATACTAAGTTAAATGCAAATGTGGTATCATAAAGTCATTGAATATACTTTCTGATTATCAATAAAATATGAATAACTATGCATACAACTCTTATAATCAGACATATGAGAAAATTATGATAGAGAAACAATATATGGCAGTTGTCAGGCTGATGACCAACCTCAGAACAGTCAAACTAAATTACCCGAGCATCCACAGCCTACAACTTACAATATGTTTTAATTTCTTTAAAACATAACAGTTTTCACAGCGTTTAGATTACCACAAATTGCAAATTCTGCCAAAATAATGTTCAAGTAAACAAGCCATTTTTAGCATCATCTCCCAAATAAATTGTCTCAGTGCAGTTTATTTTATCTGAAATATCAAAGGCATTTATATATATTCTTCTCAAACGGTCAAACCACATTCCAAAGATGGAGTACGACTTACTTCTCCGGCAGCTTCAATTGCAGCCAACCATTCTTCAGAAAATGGAATAGCATTTTGTGGAAGAGCAGACAGGCACGTTTTCTCATTAAGATCATCATCCCCATGTATGCTGCTGCAAGGTAATAGAAAAATAATTTGAGTCTGAAGAATAAAATTTAGGACAATGTTTACAGTGAAGAAACATAATCATGCAAACAGACACAAACAAGGAAAAAAACAAAATGAGAAACAAAAAGGAAAAGATGCAATATTTATATGATAATGCTTACTTTGGTGATAATGCAGCTTCAACCTTGACATGGTCCAACTTAGGATGAAAAGAACTCAAAGAATCATTAGTATCTTCAAATTCTTTACTTCTGGAGGTGTCAGGAAAAGACTCAACTCTTGAAAGATCAGGTATTACATCGGCAGTATAATCTTTAACTCCATATGCATCGCTGCACTTTTCATCTATTATTAAAGGTGTATCCTTTGAAGAAAAACTGGTGCTTGTTGAAGTACTCGAGCACGATTCAGTCTCACCAGTGTCTGTGCGTTCTGTGCTCCCAATCGCATTTTTCACACTCGACACATCAACCTGATATTCCACCGGAAAGTAACTTCCCGCATGTAGTCTGTGATTGTGATGCTCAATGTTCTCAGCTACAAATTTAGCTCTAGGCAAAGTCAACCGTTTTGATTCATTTGTACAGAGTTCACTGATTTCAGACGATAGCACCAGCAAACTCTCCGGATCTTGTGAATTTCTTATGTTATCCATACCAGATTCTCTTCCCCTTAATGTCATATTTGAAGTTAGTGGATTATCTGCAGAATCATCTTGAAAGATTGCATTTTCTGTCATCTTTCCAGAAGCTTTCTCCTGAGACTGTTCACCAGTCCTGCTTTCGTGGAAGGAACTGCAATTGTGAATCTTCAGCTTATGAGAGTCTTCATGAAGACTGTTTGACAGGTTTCTATCAGCAGGATTGTCTGACAAAGCATCAACATTATAGGAACTCACATCCACTAAACTAGAGTGGATTTCAGATAATGAGGAATTACCAACAACATTTAACTTGGTGCTGACAAGATGTCTGCTTATTTTTTCTTCATCGAAGTTGTTATTGCACATATTAACTGGAGATAGTGAGCTTTCAGTCGTAATCTTCATGTCCTTGTTCAGATTTTGTCTGTCCGCGACTACCAATTTTAATTTCTCAACATTTTCTTCTTGCGAGGAACTTTGAACACATAATTCTTTATCAGGCAGCAATCTATTACTTGTATTGAACACTGCATTTCTTGGTGGTGCCAAGCCTTCTCCAGATTGATTAGTGCAACTATCAACCTCTGAAATCAAATTTATGTCAGACCTGCAGCCTCCAACCCTTGAAGCACATAAAGCATTCTCCATATGAATCTTTCTCATGAGTGCATTGATCGGTAACTTGGGCAAAGCAGTTTCTTTTGTATGATCATCATGTAAATGCTTGGACCCAAAGTATGACTTTTCAGCCTCGACTCGGCTGTGCTCTAAAGATGCAATGCTTGTACTTCCACTATACCTACTGCTTGGCTGGGACACACTCGGATGCTCACTAAAAAGTTTATCGTCCATTACTTGTTTATGACTTGCACTTTCTGTGGGCAATTCAGTGTCGACCTTCTGTAATTCTCTCTCTTCATTACCGTTCTTTCCATTTCCATATTTGCAGTTATGTGGAATCTGTCCATTGAAAGCAAAATTATTGTCTTCAGACTACTTACTATTAATAGGTTACAACTAACAAAATCATAAATGACCTTCTTGCTTACCTTCTTCACATGTTTCTGCTCAATTTTTGGTTTAATTACCTCAACAGTGTTGACATGAGATGATGCACTACTCTCTGAGCTGGAGCTTCTGCCATTAACACTCATTGTTCTTGCTTGAATTTCAGAATCAACCTTGGGTTTTCTTGTTAAGTTATCTTGAAATCTTGCATTTTCAGGTTTATCAGTTTCTTTATCTCGAAACGATGAATCATGGAAGACCGGACGTATAGGCTACATCAGCATCATACAATTACCAATATTAAGGAAGCAAACAAACTTCTTTCTTGAACTTGCATTCACTATTCAACAGTAGAATTCGTGATACCTGACTGAAAAATGATAAAGACGGTGACGGCATCCTCAAACCAGATGGTTTTGTAGGTGGATTTGGCAAAGTATGCATAGCCGCACCATAAACATGAGCATGTTGAGAAATGAGAGATGCAGAAGATGTTGATTCTTTTCGGTCCTCGGATGAATTCACTGACCTCACTGGTGTTGTAATATCTGAAAACATCCTTGAACCTGAATTATCGGCTAAAACTGGACTGATAATGTCAGATGAAAGTCTCTTGAATGATGAGTTGCCCTGTAAAATTTTTTGCAGGTTTAAACTACTGATGTGATCAAGCAAAGTTATAAAGTACTTCAAGACAATTGCTACGTTGTAAAAGTGCTATAAGTTTTCTGCTAATAAGGTTTAATGAATAGTATATAACTAAACTAGCCAACAGACTTCTAACTTCAATGGCCCTATAAGAAAGAAGGTGGGCTCTTACAGAATTTCCATCTGAATAGCGAGGAGGTCTTTGTGAACTAGATTTTGATGCATTCTTGGTGTTTTGGAAACTTCTAGAGAAGCTCTTTGATCCTGGATTTCTATGGCTGTCAAAATCTGCATTGATACATGATTAATAACCTAGACTCGTATTTTAAAGGGTCCGAAATTCTCAAATGCATACAACTTAACCACCAGGCAATCAGACTGAAATTGAATGCAACTATTTTTTTAATTCAGAAAACAAATTCAGCATAAATAAGATGCATATTGACCATCACCTAGCATTTTACCTGGTTTAGCAATCTGGTTGTGTTTCACAGGGTTAGCTTTGAGAATGGTGCTCGTATTTGAAACACAAATCGAGCTAAGGCTTGGTTTCATGCCCGGAAATTTCGGCAGCTTTAAATCCTTCCCGGCAGTCTTGCCAGCGTTCACAATTGCAGGCCTTTTTAACGTACCAAATTATTAAGGATAATGCTATATTCAAACTTCCGATAAAAAATGAGAAGAACGTAAGAAAAGGTCAAGATAGATTCAGACTGCAATATAAACAAAGGATATGATGACGAAGGTAAAGGTCGAGGACAGTCACCACATCTGGATCCAGATTTTTTACCAAGATGTGTTGATAACTTCCGTGAAGCCTGAAATGCCATCAAACATTAGAAGCATTAACAAGGACAAGTCTCCCATTCTATAGAGAAGGAAAAAGGTAAAACTACCCACAGAAGTTAACATTAACTTTTTTGAGGAAGCAGAATCAATCTTTGGAGATGACCAGCCCCTACTTCCATCTCTACCAGACTGTTCATCTTGCATTTCTTTTAATAGATCTTTTTCAAGTTTTTTCGGGATCTGAGGACTACCATGAGTGCCACCATTAATGAAAGGAGATCTTTCTCTACAGGATGTACCACTAATGACAGAGAGTTCTACGGGATCCAAAACACCTGAGGAAAGGACAAAGCATACATACTAATCGTCCATTGATAATAAAAACAGAATTACAAATCAAATGAGTGATAATAATCAATAGAAACCAAACAGATAAAAACAAAAAGAAGCCACCTTCTTCAGTGAAAAAGGCTTTATCCCATGCTAGGCTTTTCCGCAGATTATATCCCCCTCCCTTTTTCTTCCTTTTCATCTGTAGTGGCTCCAAGCTGAGTTTTGGGGATTCAGATTTGTTTATGTTGATATTCTCTTTGAAATAGCTAGTTTCATTAATTGAGCAAGGGCTAGCCTGATCCAAAGCGTGTGGTGAAGCCTCTGCAAGATATAGAGGGCGAGGAACAAAATTAAACAACCGAATTAATCGTTATCTAGTTTCAGTAAAAAGAAATACCTGTACCGAGAGCAGGAAAAAAAATACTTGCGAATCAATTAGAAAACTGGGTATAAATTCTGGATATCTTTCATTTATTACGTGTTCTAAATAATTGATACAAAGGTTTTTCGGTAAAAAATGCCAGCCTAAGAACATGTACAACAAAGTTGATTCTCTCTACATAAACTCTGAAAAAGGCAATATGCCGCAAGACACGATCATTACAATTTAATTGATTTACTCTACAGCCCTGCATCCTTTTGCAAGGTGCAGTACTACACTGTTTATTTTTGAGATAAGAGGATGAAAGCATATCACACGCTCTAGTGAAATTCACCATGAAACCTGCATACAAATCTCCACATACTCTACTCTGTTTACATAGCGAACAAGTACAAAACTCTATACCAGTATGCACTCATACTGGGATTTTGTTTCAAAAAGAAACAGCTCAGTCAATCACCTCAGTACCGAACATTCACCGCATAATTAAGAGCATCAGTACAATGTAGCAAATGAAAAGGAGGAATTGATGCCATAACAGCTAAAAACCCTAATTGCATCGGAAAAAAAAAATCTGTCGAGCCTAACAATTGAATCACAGAAATTGAAAAGCAATAGAAAAATGAACAAATGAAAAAATAAAAAAATAAAAAAAAATACCGGCGGATGGAGAACAAGCGGCGGAGTTGACGGAGGTTCGAATTTTCAGGCCAGACCGCATCTCTTCCTCGGCGATGGCGTCTCCGGTGGAGCAAAATTGATGTGGTTAATAGAACAGAAGGGTTTCAGATTTCGACGTCGAGAGCTTTTCAAACGAGGGCGAGCGGGAATATACTATAACCAATGAAGCGCGTGATGCTACACGCCAACAAGTTTTATAATTTTATTTGACAATTTCTTATATTTCGAATTTTTTGTGGTACTTTTGTATTTCGTAATAATTCTATTTGATTATTTGCGGTGATATGTGGTGCTTCGAATTAGTTCATGTAGATTTGGACGTTTTATTTCTAAAATTATAAAATAATTAATCAAATAAAATTATAAATACATTTTTTAACTTACTAATTTATTTGTGTATTATAATAAACCAAGTCAATCGCGTCTTGGTGGTCAGCAATTCGACATCGTATTCATATATAAATATAATAGTATGTTGATATCCGAACTAGAAAGGTCGGTTATATTTGAAGTTAGAATGCCTAACAGGGTGAGCAATGGCCTAGTCGGCAAAAAGCCGATTGGCCCTTGAAGACTAACTAATAAGCACTTGAGGCAGCATTAACTTTTTTACAAGACTTTCAACAACTTGATTGTCGGTACACACCCGTCTCTAGTTGAAGAAGATCATCGGCAGGCAATTTTCGCCATAATCATTAGGCATTTAATGCAAACATACAATTTTCGCCATAATCATTAGGCATTTAATGCAAACATACTTACTAGAAATAGTAAAAGGATTCTAATGCAATTTGCAGCACAATAATGAATTTTCTCGGGTTGTACCAGTGTTTTAAAACGTGTATAGCGTAAGCGCTGCGTTTTGGCTTTTATATTACGTAGCGTAAATAGTGTTGCGTGTTGCGTAAGTTGTTTGGGTATTTTTTTCTATAAAAATATTATAAATATATTTGTACATAATAAAATTGGATGGTTGATTCCAAAAATTATCATAGTATTTGAAAGACTTCAAAAATATCATCCAAGAATTATTTCTCACAAATGTTTAATGCAAATATCATAATATAAATATTTAAATAATAAATAGAATATATTAGAAAGTAAAAACAAACAACAAAAATATAATAAGATAAGTCATAGTTTAATTTTAAGTATATACAATTTAATTATTATTTTTATTTAACTACAACTTAATTTTATCCATTAGATATAAATTTTTTATTTTTTATTTAAATGTCAAATATTAAAAAATAAAATGATATAACAGAAATGAATCGATAAATATTGCACTATTCAACTTAGGACTTTGCATTTTCAAACTTTTATTTTGAAATCATTATCAAAACTTTTAATTTTTAGTGTCATTTGTAAATATAACTCTAATCCCTAAAAGATACGAGTTTTTGAATATTTTATTATTTAAATGCCGTTGTAGAAATATAACGCAATGTAGCTCACAATAGCGTGCAATAGTAAAAAATAGCGTAAGATAGCTTGCCATTCAACATTTTGCGTAAGCTTTTCGAGAAAAACGCTAAATATATAAAACTACATCGTATTTTTTGAAAAAAAAAAAAGCTATATAGCGAGCAATAGCGAGCTATTTAAAATAATGGGTTGTACTACACTAAAAATAGGGCCAAAGTGTTTACTATGAGGGGAGAGGAAAAAATAACAGAGAATATTTCTACACATAAAGAAAAAAAAATCGAACATATTTTATGTTCGACATTTACCAACTATCTTTTTTTTTTT